CCTATGTTTTGGCCAGTGTGCTATGTTGCACAATTTTACATAATGTTGCAGTGTATGCTGCTTACAAAGTCTTAAAATTTACAACATAATACCTTCATTATCCGTTTCTTTTCACTATCACATAAATGAAATTCAACACATGTCTAATACTAACATCTTCTAACATTATTCAAAATCAAGAAAGTTCAAAAAAAGCCAAGCCCATGTTTGGCCAGTGTGTTTTGGTATAATAGATTATTCATGAAATCAGTCATACATTTTTGGGCAGTGTGAAATTCATAAATGAAAACAATCATATACATTTTTGGCAGTGTGGAATTCATACATGAAAATAGTGTGGAATTCATACATAAAAAGAGCTATACATTTTTTGGGCGGTGTGGAATTCATAGATGAAATTAGTCATACATTTTTTGACAGTGTAGAATTAATACGTGAAATCACTGCCACATAAATCAATGGACATTACACTACAACATGAAATTAAGGAACACAATAATACATTTACACATCGCCGTAAGATATAACAACATATATTCATTCTACACTGCCACATAAAAAACTCACATATAAAAAACTACACTGCCCACTACACAATTACGAGTGAACAACCACACTGCCCAAAATAATCATATTTTTTGGCAGTGAATAATGAACATATACTGTTTAATTAAAGGACAAAATCGGAATTACATGTATGAAACATATAGCACTGCTATTTAGAGTATTTTAATGCTCTTAGAGTGCTATTTTGGTTTTTCTCCCTTTATTATTCATATTTTTGATACATTCAACTTACTTATAACATGTATACTTATTTTGCTATTTTAACTCTTCGAATTACAAATTTTACACCTAATGTATACATTCAAATAGTTTGAAACACTTTATTTCATATGTGTAGCAACATATGTTCTACAAAATACTCCTTCTGTCCCGAAGTATTCGTCCAGTTTTGACTTTTGAAACTGTTCATAAGCACTTTGACTCATCAAATTCTCTCAATGTGTAAGCCTAAATATAGTCATGTGTGATCTTGTTTGATTTGTCTTAACATATAGATTATTAATATATATAATTTCTATAATTTTTTAATATACAAATTACAAGATAAAATGGATTAAAGAAGTGTATTGGATGGTGTGTAAAAATGAAAGTGGACAAATACTCTGGGACGGAGGTAGTATAAGTTATGAATTTTATTACAATGAAATACACTTTCCCGTGCATCGCACGGGTGAAGTACTAGTTACACCTTAAAGGCCATCAATTTCACCAAAAAGTAGTGCAATTTTTACCCAATTTCAAGTCAATTTCATCTCATATTCACACAATTTTAAGTAAATTTCACCAAAAATGTACTCAATTTCACACAAAGAAATTCAATTTCACCAAAAATTAAATTAAACAAAAATAACCTCACCGCAAAAAGGAAGAGGAGGTTCGGCAGGGGAAGAGAGATGGCTGGCGGGGGAGTACTAGCGGCGTCAACGAGGGGTGGCGGCGGCAGGTGGACGGGGCCGCTGGCGCGGCTGGGGAGGACGGCGTCGCTGGCGCGGATAGGGAGGACGGCGCCGCTGGCGACGCTGGGGAGGACGGCGTGGCTGGCGCGGCTGGGTAGGTCGGCGTGGCTGGAGGGTTCGGCGTGGCTGGCGAGGATGTTTGTCGGCGACGAGGGCGGTCGTTGAAGGCTGGCGGAGGGGTGGCGTTCGCAGGACGGCGGAGGGGGAGAGAGAACCGGGATATGGTTGAACTGAAGGACGAATGGCTGGAAAATTTTGAATCTCGTTTTTTAGTTTATACCTGCGACGGATCTGCGAGGGATGTAAGGGTCCGTCGCAGATTATCAAGTCAAAATTTGACCAACTTATATTTGCCACGGTAACAAATAATCCGTAGCGGATTTGCGACGGACAATATGAATCCGTCGCAGATTATGCTTATTTTTCGAGGATTACAATTCCGTCGCGGATTCGTTGTAGATCTGATACGGACTTACTTCCGTAGCAGATATCCGTTGCAGACCAAACAAATTCTTGTAGTGTGGGCTTGAACCCAAGGTTGTATTAATTGTGGATGTTTTACTTTAAGTTTACGCGGTAAACGTTCTTTTTTTAAATTCTCTTTAGTTATCAAAAAGAGAATATGTTTCAAAAAAAATATTTTACAAAGTAACGCGGTTTTACTAGCACTCTGGTCTAGATGACTCGGGTCATCCAGGGTGGGGTGTTACATTTTGGTATCAGAGAAATTGGTTTATAAAATGATCTTCTGACCTGACTTCAAAAAAAATGGAGGAATAATGTTTTCTTATGGAAAAGAAATAAGAGAAAGAGAAATTGTTTTTTTAATCATAGGTACGGCCACGTCTCTATGCTTCCCTCCAAGCAGGTATTCCTTTATAGAGCGACAAGCATAGACTCGGTTATATCCGAACGCATTCCAAACAGGAAGAGGAAAAAAAGGCTGAACCCACGAGGGCCTGGCACTCGTCGTCTGATGTCATGGTATAGACATAGAGATGCACGTAGAGAGAAGAGACTCCGGAGTAAAGGGGTCCCAAAGGAGGACTGGAGCTCTGTGGGAACTGGTCATAGCGTCTGCGAAGGGTTTGCAGAGGAGCCCACTATAGACAAGCCATAACGAAGTTTTAAACATTATCTATTTCACACGCGCACGGACTAGTTACTACTCCTTATGTTATGCATGTGTTGGTGCTCAATAAATCCTTAAATAATGAAAGTCTTTTAAATATTTGTGCTTCGTGCTTGGAAAAAAAACCCTGAATGATTCAATATTTCATTTATAGAATGGAGAATGATGCGCAGTCCGAGTGAGCAAGTTTGCACAAACCTTGGAGGCAATGAGGCAATACTTCCAAGAGGAAGTGCCAAGAAATCCCAAACCGCCTGCCTGGACGGTTGACAGTTTGAAGAAAAATGGGGCAAAAGAATTCTTAGGGGCGG